GGGAAGAACAGGGACCAGTCTGGGAATCTGGAAAGGACTCAGATAAGGGTCCTGCATCCGATACAGAGATGGGGCCAGGACCATCTGAGAGTTATGTGCTGACTCCAGAGCCTCCAGAATCTGGCAGCAGTGAGGCAGAGGAACAAGGGGAGCCTGTTCCCAGTGCATTGCCAAAAGGCAAGAGCAGCTAAGACAAAAGAGGTGACTTTTGTCACAAGTAAGGCTTGGAGGTGATTGCTCCTCCCATAAGGTATAAAGGAAGTGCAAAGGTCGGAAAACCTTTGCAGGAAGCAAGGTCATTCACTTTGATCAGTTTGGACTTTGAAAGCTCCGTGGTGAATTTGTTTTCCATTTGTTTTTGAAAGACTAATTGGGGCTTTAGTCTTTGGCAGCACTGCAAGTAAGATAAGGTGTGTTCTTATCAAATGTCTCTTGAACAACTTTGGCAGCTGTCCCTGGGACTAATTATAACTGTGAATTATCGTCATTCTGGGCTATGAATGATGATAATTCACAGCCATTGAACTAACATAAAAATGTTTTGGATTTTACACGTGTTTGATGGTGTCTTGGTCAGAACACATACTGATTTCACATTCTTATTCAAACCAGATCAAAGGCATGGATCAATTTACTCTAAAGCAATTTTTTTTAAAATTCATAATCCTTTCAAAGCCCTATTTTATATTTAACCTGTATTTGGAGGCTGTATTTAGAAGCTACACTTTGTTTCAGAGAGAGTTTAGGAAACCTTATCCTGCAGAGTTGACATTACTTTTCCTATCACTATCAGCAGTTATCTTTCAGGATAAATTCTCAATCCTTGTTGTTCAGGACAGTAACCTCCTTCTCATGTCCCTTCCCTCCTTATCGCTCAAAAGAAATCCAATCCAATTTCCCATGCATCCTAGCCAGAAAGTAAGATATAAGTTGCCCCGTTCTGATTGTCTAAATATCAATTCATCCATTTCTTTGCATTTTCCGCTTTAGAACATGAACTTAGAAATCTGCAATCTTCATGTTCCTCATGAGCAATCAATTAGCTCCTTCCTGAAATTATATTTTTACTGGAGCTGAAACATATAAAGAACAGTTGTTGAAATTGGATATGTCTAGTTTAATTAAAAGAAGGACTGGGGGGGACATGATAGTAGTGTTCCAATATTTGAGGTGTTATAAGGAAAAAGAAGCCTTCCCCTTTAAGGAAAGATAGAACTCTTTCCCTTTGTGAACTCAAATTTCCCTGCTGGGAGATTTATTGAAAAATGATTGGAGGTCAGCTGCATTGGAAGCAGGAATCAGTTTATTGTTAATAGGAAAGCAGGTAAAAGGAGATCATAACAGTGTTCCTGAGACTAGTTTGCTTTATTGTAAGTTAAAACCCCTTTTTATAGCGTTCGGGACCTTTTTTTAAATTTGTATGTGAACTCTTTAAAGTCTTTTGATTTGTATGTGTGTGATGGGTTTTTTATGGCGTTTAATCCTGTCTCTTGAGATTGGGATCTTCCATCCTGGGATCTGGGTAGAAGGCAAATAAGTAATTGTTTTATTGTCCAATCTCTGTTTTTCCTTGGCCCTTTGTAGCTGCTGTTCCCTATAATTAATCAGTTTGCATTTTGTTGCAATATCCTGAGCTTTCAGTTATGCCTTTGGTTTGCTATCATGGTTTAAATTTTTTTTCTTCCTGCCATGCCTTTTTTATTGCTGTGTTTTGGTAAGTATCTCCCTTTCTCACGTGGCTAAGGTTCTTGATTTCTTTTCCTTTGGGTGTTTGGTTTTGCTGTTTTTCCAAGTTTTATAGTTTGCCATCTATTTGATTTCTATGGGAAGGGAGATAATTTGTAGGCTTTTTCTCTGTATACCATGTGTGGGTTTTGGGGAGAATAGGCTGGCTTCAGCTATTTTAATGACCCTATTGACAAGGGTAGGGGCTGAATCCCTGCTTGAGTTTCCACTTCTCTTTTCTTTTAGGGGAATTTTCCTGCCCCTTTAATATTTTTAATTTTTCTTTTTCTTTTCCTAGGAGAGGGGTGAATCACAGCTTCCAACAGAGGGACTGCCACAAAGGAGAAATTCTGTGACAGAACAATTAATCCGTGAAACAATTTGCCTCCAGAAGTTGTGGATGTTTCAACACTGGAAGATTTTAAGAAGAGCTAGGACAACCATTTGTCTAAAATGCTAGAGGACATCTTGCCTGAGCTCCATAGTCCCTTCCAACTATGTTAGTCTGATTCTGTTTTCAGAAGATTATGTCAAGCTTCCATTTCATGGCTCTGTAAAACCTCATTCCATACTACTTTTTAGCTCTAAAGATTTCTGCTGTTCTTTTGTTCTGCAAGGGTTTCCTTCCTTCTTCCAATTATACTCCACCCTGCCCTAGGCCCCTTCAAGCCATCCAAGAAAGCTTTTTCTTGTCATAAATCAGGTCATCTATGCAACAGCAAAAATAAACTTTCCAACACTTTGTACAACCATGATTATTTTCACTGTTTGCTCACTGAACCATCACAGTGTTGAATACATAATATACTAGAAACAGTCTAAAACTACCCATATGTTTCAACCAGAGAAAAAATGAAACAGCAGGAAAGAGAGGGAGAAAAGGGACGTTATTCTACAAAAATTCCAGATGGAGCATATCAGATTGAAAGATATGTTTTCCCTTATACTGCTGCTTTACATTTCCTTTTCTGTGAAAGTAAACAGCTGTTTGTTTATAGAGCTGAAAATTAAGGTGTGAATTTGGAGAGAACATTAGAAGGACAGCAACATTTGTTCCTTCAGCTTGCATTTATCTTCCTAGGCCCATTCTGGTTGCTGTTTCTTGGTCACATAAGGTGCTGAAGTTATGCATTCAAATGTGATGTAAATTTTGTTTCAAAATAGAATAGGTTTCTAAAGAATTCATACTAATTTAAGGAGTTATAATGCAAAGTACAAAACTGGCATGTAAGATCTTTTGCCTTCTAACTGCTCAGTAGAGGCCCAGCCTCAAATCTTGAGAAACCCAAATAATTAGCGAAATCAGCAAGACAATGAATGACTTTGGTTAAAAAGATTGTAGAAATATTATGATTAGAGTGGAGTGGAGTGGAATGGAATAGAATAGAATATTATCATTTATATGATACTGCAAAGGAGGTTGCAAAAAAAGGGGAAAGTTTGTGATTCTAACATTTTTCTAACAATTTTCTATACACAGATAGAAAGGTCCTGTGTACCCATTTTACCAAGTAAATACAGACTTTATAGATGATAAATGGTAAAGAATTTATACATTAACAATGGAAGATTTGAGGCAAAACCTTCTATTATTAAAAAAGAAAAAGCATAATGGTACTGTATTAACACTATATTCTTTCTTCCCCCAATTTCAGCATGAAATTTGGTAGAAATAGGATTTCTTCTGGAAATAAGTGCCATCTACAACGGATGCAGTAAATTTTATGGAAAAAAAATGTGTTTGAAATTTCAGAATTGTGATATAAAATCTGAATAACCTAACACCAAAAAATCCATTTACATCAGTAAGTCGACTCTCCTGCTAAGTACAGGAATCCGAATTAAAGCATTCAAAACAGATGACCCTCTAACCACATCCAATAAAAGGGAATACATCGCATCTAGGTAATTGGTATTATTATGACATACGTTGTCAAACACTTCGCTAAACCAACATATATTGTGTATTTAACATTCCCTCAATCTATTAAAATAGCTACCCAGTCAAAAAAATGAGATTAGGTTAGTCAGGCAAGATTTATATTTGACACATTCCAGTAATTTACTATGTTGTTTTTCCAGTTTCTTACATAGTTCTTCTTATGCTCTGCTCTAAATGTCTCCAGTATTAATCCCAGATTAACTGGTCTATAATTTGCTGGGTTTATCCTCTTATTCTTTTTGAAGATAGGGACAGTATTCTTTCTCTTCTAGTAATTTTCCTTCCTAGGATTTTTCAACATTTGAGTCAGAACCATTAGGTAAGATCCCAGGGTTCAATTCATTTGGTTCGGAGAGTTGAACTAATTCAAAGAAATGGTGTATTTTCTGATCATCTTTCTATTAGTCACAAGCTTCAATTCTGCCCATCCTACTTTTTTTCACAACTTCTTGCTTTAATACTAACCTTTTTTATTCCAGAAGTCTAAATCAAAATAAAAGTCAAATAACCTCTTCCTCTTCTGTTAGTATTTTACCACCAGCTATATTGATATTTTTTCTTGACTGTTGTTTTTAACATATTTAAAAGAATCCCTTTTGGTTTTCCTTAGTATAATTCTTTAACTTCTGCTTATTTACAGCTTTTCTTTTCATGACATCAGGGCTATACTTCTCAGCTGTCTATATCTTTACAATGTTAAAATTATAAATCATTTCTTTCCTATCTGAGAATCACAAGCTTACCTTATCTATGTCACATCCTTGGCATGAATGTTTATAAAATGAAAAACATGAAGTTAGCTAATATTCTTTCTGATTTTTCAACATTACACTGAACTACCAAACTATTATTAAACAAATACTGTTTAAGTATAAAATGGTTCCATATATGTAATGTATACATATGAAACCAACATTTTAAAATTAAGAACAAAGCTTTTAACCCAGTCTTGCAGTTCTGCTGCTTGATAATATATAAAGATGATGTGAGCAATATGTAACCATTGCAAGTCATGTGCATCATGAAGATATGTTTATGGATCCAACAAATAAATAAAAATCAGGGAATGTTGCCAAAACATAATGAACACAGAACAGTATCAACAAAAATCCACTTCCATAAAGAGAGTTCCTTCTTTTCTACTTATCCCACCATAGTAACTAAAGCCAGATCTGGAGAGTTGAAACTGTTGGAACAGTTTTAGAAACAGAATGGGAGGGAATGTGCAGAAGAACAAAAGAATGCCTGCCCCAAATCTAATGTAAGAAAACTATTAATTTCTATTTTGCACATTTACTTTGGATACATTTGCTTGTTAAGGATGTAAGCATACCTGGTAGTCTAAAATGCTGAATCCTAAACCTATTTTTGCATCTTTAACAAGGACAATGTCTTGGACTTCAGAAGACCATAGTGCTAGTTCCACTTCTTCATCTTCCTGCTGTTCCTCTGAATTTTCAAACTTCACCTAAGAAAAATAGAACATGCTTATTCTACTGGTAAAAGGTATCTAGTATATATAAATCAAAAAGGTCATTTAGATTGGAATTTCCATCTATATACTACTAAAACTCTAGTGGTCATAATCTTTTAACCAAGGGTGGGATTCAAAATTTTTAACAACCAGTTCTGTGGGCATAGCTTAGGTGGTGGGTGTGGCTTGGTGGTCATGTGACTGGGTGGACAGGGCTTGATGGTCACGTTATTGACTGGGTGTGGCCAACTCAATATCACTCACCTCAAAGCACGCATCTTCTCGCCTGACCTCTCATGACTGTGGGGATACTGCAACAGTCGTAAGTGTGAAAAATGGTCGTAAGTCACTTTTTTCAGTGCCATTGTAACTTTGAATGGTCACTCCACACAAGCAAAGTACCAGCAAAGGAGGGGAAAAAAACTCCAGAGACATTCCTGAGACAGGAAGTCTAGTCCTGCCAAGAATGTAATAAGGGTTAATGGAGAGGCAGTTTCTGTAAACAACACCAGAATGCTTCCTTCCTGCCTTCCTTACAGGATTCGGCCAGTAATTTCTTCTAACAACTGCTTCTCCAAACTGCTTAGAATGTTAACAACCAGTTCTAGCGAATAGGTACGAACTGGTAGAATCTCACCCCTGCTTTTAACTGGGTGAAATGATGCAATGTAGGACAACAATTTTTGAACCAAAATGTGTCCAAAATTTGGGACTCATGAGGGAATGAGATTTGGGGAAACTATTGCTGCTTTGGTGCTACTAGCTGTTGGGCTTCAGCTGCAGTCACATGATCTTTATTTTCAACATTCTGTAACAATTTCCCAGCCAGTCTCACAATCCCTTCCTCCCTCCCCCATCAAGCAGCAGCCACTTATCTGCGGGATGGGAAGGGAAGGAATTTCTGATGCTCCCTGCCAAATTTTCACAAAGAAACTCAATGGGAAAACTAGTATGAAGTTGGAAGTTACTCCTATGACCACTGTTTTCTTTACTTTTTTTTCCCCTGCCCTTGGTCATTGTATTTCTCTGTTTAGATAAAGAAACATGCCCAAATAAGACAGGGTTGCCCAGAGATTTCATAAAATTACATATTGGCCGTTTTATTTTTATAAGTTTTATAAAAATAAAACTTATACTTACAAGTATAAGTAGAAAGTCTGAAGGTGTAAGGAATAAATATCAAGTGCAAATAAGGATCAAAATTAAGAATTTTTTATTTTATTCAATTTGTATGGTTATCCATCTCACAAAATGACTTTCTAATGCTTTTAGTTCAGTTCATATTTTATACAAAATACTTTATCAATGACTATATTTTAATTTGACTGTTAATTTACACAAAAGTCCTTTTTGGGCAAGAAGGAAAAAATAACAATTAGTTTGAAAAGGAAAATTATTTGCAACCAATATTCAGCCATAACATCAGGTGTTTTTATGCAAAGGTGAAAGAATGTGTAGAAAACATTCTCAGTTGATAGTTTAAAAATGACAAACAACAGAAATTGACATTTATGAAGTATCTTTTCATTAGTTTAAATGGTTTTTTTAACTGATATACTACTTAAATTGAGAAACCTAAGGAACACCCAAAACACATATTTATTTTACAATGGAAATAATAAAAAATCAATGTCTAGAAAGTTTAATAGCTAAAACTATAATCTTCCAGGTACCATCAATTTCTTTGTTCACAAGATGGAAGCAATCAGCTAATGGAGAATTCAGAGATTAGTATAATTCAAAACTTTTGCTCCTTTATTATACTGTAGAAAGATGAATTGGATGTACACTGTCAGCATGTCCTTTCATTGATTTACATACTTGGTATCATTAGTACAATGATGTTTCTAGCTACCTGCCTAGATAAGCCACCAAGAATTTCCAATTACATTAAAAGTAGTGAAGTCAGGAACATGAGATATTTCTTCATGAAGATACACTTTTCTAAACTACAAGGACAAGTTTAGAATTCAGAAGCACATACTTAACACCATCAAGTTTTGGAACTTGCAGTTCAAAAATGTTCCATTTTAAAAATCTCCCACTCAGTAACACTAAAAAAGAGAAGTTAATCACTATTGTCCTACACACAAAAATATTTTAAAGTGTATTCGTTTTTGATGGAATGTATGAGCACAATGCTCACAGCTGGAATAGAAAATGTTTGATTATTCCTTCTAGAAGTAGCCTCTTAAACATCTGGAAATTATCTTCCCCAAAGTTTTTACACTGAGGTGGAAATTCTGCCTAAACAGCAGAAGTTATCACTTAGCACTTGTCCTGCTCTGGATTCTAACTGAGGTGTTCGGAGTATCTAAACATAGCATATAGTAGCAGGCATGTTCAAATCTAATTCTGGAATATCCTTTAGTTAGATGATGTTGTGGTTAGCCGGCAGCAGGTACAAATGGCTGAGGAGAGTAAGGACTCAGATGAGAGGACAGGACCATTAGGGAGTGGACTGCTGCCTTCAGAGATTGTGGGGGCTGGCAGCAGCGATGAAGAGGTCTGCCAAGTGCTCATGTGCGCAGGATTGCTCGCAGGAAAGAGCAGCTGCAACAGCATGGGCAACTCGGGAGTAAGGCTGCAAGGTAATGGCCCCTCCTTCAATAAGATAAAAGGCAGCTGTGAAGCTAACGTTCTTTGCAGGAAGAAAAGACATTTTAAAACTTAGCCTCGTGGACATTCCAGTATTTCAGGTTGGTATTTGAAGACTCTTGTGTTGTGAAAGATTTCTTATCTGTGATTCTTGGCAGTCTCACACAGTTTTGGCAAGGTTTGTGTTTATCAAAGTTAATTAGTTTGCAGCAGCCTTTTAACCGGGGATTCGTAAGATTCATTAAAAGGTTTCTGTTCCCTTTGGTTATTGTTTGTTTTATTGGAAAAGGGTTTGGGTCAGAACAGATTATTTTACAAGAATTAATATGGAAATCAGATTGTAACTACAGGTAGTCCTTGACTTATGACCACAATTGAGCCCAGGATTTATGTTGCTAAGTGAGAATGTATTAAGTGAGTTTTGCTTCTTTTTACGTATTAATTTCTTGCCATATTTCTTAAGTGAATCACTGCAGTTAGTAACACAGTTGTTGAGTGAATCTGTCTTCTCAATTGACTTTACTTATCAGAAGGTCGTAAAAGGGGAACAAATGACTGTGGGACACTGCAACTGTCATAAATATGAACCAACTGCCAAGCATCTGAATTTTGATGAATTTTTCACGGGGATGCTGCAACGGTCATAAGTGCGAAAAATGGTCATAAGTCATTTTATTCAACGGTCATAAGTGCGAAAAATGGTCATAAGTCATTTTATTCAATGCCACTGTAACTTTGAGCAGTCACTAAACAAACTGTTTTAGTCAAGGACTACCTGTACTTTGGGTTTTTCTTCAGCTTCTTTAAATAACAGAACGGATGATATGTAGATTGCCCAGATAAATCACAAGTCAGAAGGACTAAAAATTTGGATCTATGGCTCTAGATTGTGGACTGCTATTCTACAACCTGATATTAAGACCCAATGTTATCTATCATGGATGAAGCATCATAAATTTTGAGCATTGTCGGCTGTAATGTAATACTGCTCATATTTTCCATTCCAATTGTGTTTATTAAAGTACTGTATTACAATATTTCACTAAATATGATAATAAAATATAGAATTTAATCATTTACAAGGTAACAGCGAAGCTTCTATTGCTATGCTCCTAGTAGTTTCAAAGATAATAACTTTTCATGAACCGTTTAAAGAAAAGAAAGCAATATGCTAATGTACACGCCAATAATAAGAAAATTGAAAAGGCAGATGAAGCAGAGCATTTTCCACTGTCATGTGGTTAGGAATTTTACTTTTTAAAAAAAACATGCCATTCTGAGCCGTAGGAAAATAGCTTATGAATCATTCACATTCATTATTCATAATGAAAATTAAATGCAAAGTAACCAATACTGAAAGCAGTAGCAGAGTCAATTAATAATCTTTGGGAAATCCTTGGAAACATGCCATAGGGTTTTTGTTTTTTTTATTAAAAAAAATACCTTTGGTTCTAAAGAATGAGCGATTGTGGCTGTAGGCTCATCCACAAAAGATTCCGTGTCATCATCAAACAAACGGCGGCAACAAATTAGGGTAAATGGAGGGGGAACTTCTTTCAGAAAAGAAACAGCTTCACGGCGGGATTTCCCATAGAGCTGGACACCATTTACCTAAAGAAAGAAAGGACACCATTCCTAAGTTGACCTATACTTTCAAACTATTTGGATTTATCATGAATATTTCACTGCTTACTTTCTAGTGTTTCAATGATAGGCAAGTGCAATTTTCTCTCCCCAATATACAGGTAGATGAACTTCATTTACAATTCCAGTGATGGAGAAAAAGCTCCTTCTCTCTCTCTCTCTCTCTCTCTCTCTGTCTCTCTCTCTCTCCTTCCCTTCCCTCCCTCCCTCCCCCACACACAAAAGACATACCATTTTCAGGAAACTAATGACTTCCTTAAACCACTAAAGCAATCAATAGTATTTATTTACTTTACTTGATCTCCATGGCCTTTCTACTCTCATCTCCTCTTTTACTGTAACTCTTCAGATATTCTTGTACTAGGATACCCTTCAGCACCGAGAACATTAAGGACTGCAAGGAATTGTACTTCAGCAGCATGTGAAGAAACATTGGTTAACTGTTAAGGTTTTGTTCTACAAATACTCTCCTTATTATTATTATCCTTTCTAGTTCTTTTCACAAATTGAATAGGCCTGGTTAGTTCTACTGCTCCCAGTCCCATAGTTTTGTGGCTCATAAAATCCACAATGATTTGTAAAAATGTAGACTGATGTATAGGACAACCAAGAGAGTTACCTACTAACCTCAAATTAGCTAGTTATAGTAACAGTGTTTATGTTAGTAACTACTAGCAGTGTTGTGGTAATAGGCAATCTATAAATGAATCCATCTATATTTTACTTGGAGTGGTTAGCCATTTTATATAGAGAATAGTTTAACTCTATACTCTTAAAATACTATGTCATGATTTCTTGTCGGCTTGTATATTGTGTATTCCTTCTAGAATGTGTTTGCCATTTTATAGAGTTTTTCACACAAAAGAAATTGCAAATTTTGTGTGCATATGGATGCATTGAGTAGTCACGATTAACTCAAGATTTAAATGGATTAATCCATCTCAAGCTAGAAACTGGGACATGTGAATTCTAGTGCTGCCTTAAGGGACAAAGCCAGCTGGGTTACCTGGGGCCAGTCACTTTCTCTTAGCCCTAGGAAAGAGGCAACAGCAAACTGCTTCTGAAAAACCTTGCAGACAAAACTACAGGGACTTGTCCAGACAGTCTCCGGGAATTTGGACACAGTTGAATAGAAAGGAGGAAAAATCTGTCTCAAAGGCTGCACTATTCATCAGTAGTTAATAGCCTCAGTTTTCAGAAACTTGTTCAACGTGCTTGTAAATTCTGTCACATTTTGGAACTATTCCATAGAACATAGTATATTGCAGAAAGGCATTGAGACAACTACATTTTTCAAAACAACATTAGTTTCGCATTAAGTATTTTCAGAAATAGAATGGTTTGTAAGGATTTGGCACCAAGCTTCCAGACTAATCTAACAATTTCTTTTTGTTCATCCATTGAAATCAAAAGTGAGGTTGAAAAACACGTGGGTCATCATTTACTTCAGTAAAGTTTCATTTTACCCTTTTGGTAGAATAAAACTAATCTACATAGAATTCTAATCTAATTTTTTACTAATCTTATTGTTGCTCACATTAACATTATGATATCAAGAGAAGGTCTGTGTAATGTAAGTCGGTGACTTGGACAAATGGAATGCTAGATTGATTACTATCATAATTAAGTGAAGTTACTATAGAAACCTTTCAGGATTTACACTGCACGTCTGTAGAAGTCCTTATGTTGGGGATGGAATTGAATAGCAAATCCTATGCTATGTTATAATAACAAAGCTATGCTAAATCCCCATTGTGAAGTGGAGAGAGAAATTTCACATTTTAAAAATATTTCTCTCCCATTGACTTCAATGAAAGGAAAATTATATTTTTGTAGGTTTCAAGATATATTCTATTTGGGAGTAGAAAGTCTTTTCATATTACAGATCAAATTGTTCTTCCAATCTATATATTCTTTTTTTCTGTAGAGATCAGACTGTAAGGAGGGCAATAACCACACAAAAGTCCAGGCCATTTGAGAAGGGACATTTAAGTTTGAATCTATTTTAGCATACTCAAAAGGAAGAGGTCTGATAATCCCTTGATAATTTTCTTCTAGAATAGAATTGCAGTCCAGCTAATGCCAAGTGATACTAAATTAGAATTAATTGGGTACATCTACATCATATGTATACAGAAAAAATGAGAGCCAGCCAGCCAGACACCTATTAGGGTTTCTGTTTCAAATAATTGCTAGAGGCTAACAGTGGAAACATTTTAAGCCAAAAACTCAGTGTTACATTAAGCAAAGCAATTGGGGAATGAAATTGAAATCACAAACTCTGAATGTAATGGAAGATTTGGAATGAGTTACAGGAACAAATATTCCATTCAATATTTTGTATACTCCTAAAAATATCTCCTATGCAGAGGTGGAGACTTCCAATGGAAAAACATGCCGTACTTGCTAAGGACTTTGGAAGATTTAATTTCTCAAGCAAATCTCAATATCCTAAAAGGCATTTTAATGCACTTAAAGCATATACTCCATGATACAGCATTGATTATTAAAAATTATGCAGTATTTCTCATACAACATATTCTTTTAAAATTATACCTCTAAAAGTTCATCCTCTAGTTGCAGTAAGCCAAGTTTAGCAATTGGGCCATCTGTAGCAATGGAAGAGATGTAATGATGTCCTTCAAAAGTATCCAGTTCAACCCCGAGCCTTAATGTGTGAATAGGCAGCAGCTATTTAAAATATATCAGAAAAATAGTCAGATAAGAACATTTACAAAGAATGTGAGTTAGATTCTGTAGCTCTGTGATGTTTGAAACAACTGAATATTTTAATTTAGTAATTAACTGAATTTGATTTATCTTTATTTTAATACTCCTTGATAAAAAGGATGATGCCCTCAAGTCCATCTCAATGCCTACTACTAAGTTGCCATGCAATTTTCTGTAAGGGATCACAGAAGTGCCATTGCTTTGTTTTTGCCTTTACCATTACTTTTTTTATTATTTTTGATTTTCTTTTGTTCTTGTTTTCCTTTTGCTTGCCAGTCTAGCCAACAGCCCTTAGATCCCCAGGTTGTCACACTTATAAAAATAATAGAGGGGGACACATGGATGGCTTGGATGTGACATGATCACTAAGATCTGACTAGGAAAATATAAGCTGTTTTATAACAAACCAATGAAAATGGGATCATGAATGTTTTAGGAGAGATATTTAACCAACAGAGAAATGGAGAAATACCAGACAGACTAAAAACTGTTCTTAGCAGAATAAAAATGTTAGATTTGATAATTACTTCTTACCACCCACTGTATGACATACTTAAACAAATCAGGGAGAAAAGTATAGAATATTATTTAAACAAGGCTTGAATTAATAAAATAAGTGCATAAATTAATACATAAATGAAGGGATAAATTAGTAATGAACCCTGGTTTCTGAGTCCAACTTGTTAAGTATTAAAAAAATGTATTTCTGCTGTTGAAAGAACCAAGTTGAGCCAAATTCAGCATGGAGATACTGTAAAGACTTTTCCCCCCCCTGGAATTCAGAATTATTATTGCAAGTTAATAATTAATAAAATTACTGCAAGTTAATAAAAACTTGCAGTAGCCCTGCAAGTTAATGCAAATTTCCAATCAAGGTTTGATTTACAGAAGATCCTTCCTTTAAAATGTTTCTTCTTAGGTATATTAGCTACATTTTTTTTCAGTGCCAATCCTAAACAATGGATATCCAAGGGAAGGTTTACAAAGCATTTTAACAAGCAAAGCTGTAAAATATACTTTACAAAAATTAAGTAGTTTTTGAATAAATTCATGCCCACATAACAGCAGCACAAAAGATATGCAAAGTGTCAAAAATATTTATATCACATGATTCATATCCATTCGTATTTCCATTACTAACATGTCACAGAATGTTAAAAGGAAAAAAGGATTCAATACCTTTGAATATTTTTGTAGTTCAGCATCATTTGCAATTGGTGTATCTATTGTGACAACCTAAAAAGCAAATAAAAACAGAAAGGCTTCATCGGTATAACAAAGAACTACTTAAAAACTCAAAAGAAATTGACTAAAATATATTGCAGATGCATTACTGGAACAAGTGACAGATTGAAACACTAGAAATATAGCCACGTTGCTCGTTAGGCAAAAGACAAAAAGCTTTACATAGCTTGAAATCATCTAAAGGTTGGCCTGAGAGAAATAAACCCTAAGTCTGCAGAAACAGGTTTAATTATTGATCAGACTCAATGTGGATCAATGGTCACATTTCTATAATTCAGTTTATTTAAATTATTTCCTATGTGTACTAAACCAGCGTTTCTCAGCCTCAGCAATTTTAAGAGGTGTGGATTTCACCTCTCAGAAGGTGAATTCTGGTAGCTGAAGTTCATACCTCATAAAGTTATTGAGGTTGAGAAATACTTTACCAAACTGTTAAAAGTTTAACCCGCTGCTCAAAAAATAAACATTCTTATTTAAGGTCTCATTTCTTGAAGACAATAAAAACAATACATTCCCAGTAATATAATGAGGGATAACATACCATAACTTCATAATCAGGTCCCAGCAATGTTTCCCATTTGGATGTTGGCTTATCTTCTGGTGAGTCTAAGGTGTTCCCTAAATTACATTTATTATTATAAGGCAGTTGTTAGAACTGTTCATTGTTTACTTACATTTAGCAAAACACAAAGCATTCTAAACTAATAGCCCTGCTATAGAAATATATATATATAAAAATTCACCTTAAGACCAGTTCAATCTCCTATTTGCATCAATGTCTTCTTTCTTTCTTTCTTTCTTTCTTTCTTTTTCTTTCTTTCTTTCTTTCTTTCTTTCTTTCTTTCTTTCTTTCTTT